ACGGTGGCTTTGTCTACGACAGAGGCAGAGTATATGGCGGTTACGGAGGCTGTGAAGGAGGCTATTTGGCTTCGAGGACTTTTGGAAGAACTTGGTATATCGCAGCGATCCGTCACTATTCATTGCGATAGCATGAGTGCTATATATTTGGCGAAGAATCAGGTTTTTCATGCGAGGACGAAGCACATTGACGTTCGTTATCACTTCGTTCGAGATATTCTTGAAGATGGCGATGTGGAAATTGTGAAAGTCCACACGAAGGATAATCCGGCGGATATGCTCACTAAGATGGTTCCGAGCAACAAGTTTGGATGTTCTTGAAGATGGCGATGTGGAAATTATGAAAGTCCACACGAAGGATAATCCGGCGGATATGCTCACAAAGGTGGTTCCGAGCAACAAGTTTATTCATTGTCGAAACTTGTTGCACATTCGTGATTGTTGAGGCCGTTGGCGGCCATTTGGATGAACTACGTTTGGCTTGATTCCTTGGGCAAGAGGATACGTAGGTAGTCTTTCAGATGCAGCCGGTTTGGATTAGTTGTTTTTGATGGGGGTGAGATTGTTTGGACTCTCGTTCGGGTTCTCGACTTGTTGTGGATTGCGTTCGTACTGGTCATAACAAGTGGGACATTTGGTTGCTTTGGTATCGGCTCAGTTTTGAGAAAACTTCACCGAGGTGGAGAATTGTGAACGTGGGCCACCACCACGTGAATGTTCACGTGAACGAGACGCGGTTTTGTTTCCGCGTGGACTCTTTTCCGTGCAAAGAAACGAAAACGAAGCCGGCCCACGATTCGCTACCTATATATATAATTGTTTATTAGGTTTTTTAGTTGAGCAGCGAAGGAGGGGTTTGATTTTTTCGGCTTTTGTGCGGCTGGAGAAAAAGCAGAGCAAGGCTGGGAAAAGCAATTGGAGCACAGAGCTTTTGTTTGTTGTTTTTGAGAGAGATATTTGTGAGGGATTTGAGAGTTTGTGTGAGGGTTTTATTTGTGAGATTCTTTTGTAAACCCTAATTGTATTCTCTCCCTCTATTAGTAGATCTCCCCCGTCCTTGCCCCGTGGACGTAGGCAATTTGCCGAACCACGTAAAAATTGATTGTACTGTTTTTGTGTGATTTGTAATAGCTTTTAGGATCCCTCGACAGGTCAGTCCTAGAACTGATGAGAGGAAGAGCCGATATCTCACTTGGTTGAGATATCCGCTTCAGATTCTTGTCTCCTTGGTGAGACGGGAATTCTTATTGCGATCTGACTCTCTTGTTGTGCTGCCGAAGTGCTGCCGAAATTTCCGCTGCGCGCAACAAAATGGGGAACGAAAAATTAGCTGTCTGTTTTTCTACAGTGAAAATGATTTTCGTTTTCTTTTTTGTTTTCTTTTAAACCAAACACCAGAAACTCACTTTCTCTTTCATTTTACTTTCCTTTCTCCCACTTTCTAACAAACCAAACAGAGCCGAAGTAACTAACAAGGAATCTGGTCTGTACTGTAGAGCACATAATCACTTTCAAAGGCATCATTGATGAGATACACATCCTCTCCATCTTCACAAAGCATGTGCATCACGTGTACAAATAGCTCAACATCATCCCTATGATCTACTCTGCTGTGCCAAATTGGACACAATGTCGATGCGAAAATTGCGAGCAACAAGCCAATCAAGAAACCAACGTGGCCTGTCATCCCCCATTTCTCTCCCCCTCTTCTTCTTCTTCTTCTTCTTTTTTGAATTAAGATCCTGATTCGTGACGAGGCTACGAGTGGCTGGTCGGCAAGTGGATCAAAGAGGGGTTTATTAGTAAGGGCTGTAATTTTGGACAAGATTAGATGGTTGTTACTGCTTGTGATCTCAGGAGAAGGAGATTGAGAGTTTGGAGATGGTTGGAAGTGGAAGATGACGAAGCACCAAGGGGAAAGCGAAGATTAGTAGAGAATAGATACGTTTAGCAAGAGTAGAGAGGATTTCTAGTGCTAAGAATTTGGCTGTGATATAGTAAAAGACTTGTCATCCCAAAGGTCGATGGTCAGGTTTTATTTGTAGTAGAGCAAATAGAACACATGTACAAATTTTCGAATGTACGACAAACAAATTTCATTGACTTTGCTAATACACTAACTGCTCTAATATTACTATTTAGTAAGCTCCTGAAGTTTGCTAATACAAGCGCTAACCTGTATCCTGGAACATAAGGGACCTGAGCAGCTTGCATGGCTAGTTCAGCCTGTTCCTTCTGTAGTTGGAAAAGCCTCTTCCCTTCTTCGTAGGTGCTTCCAAAGGCAGTTCGAGAAATGGCATCCTTTGTGAGAATCTGAAACTCAGGCCACACGTCCACTTCAGAAGATCCTTGAGCACTTACCAAATCATCCCATCTCTTTATCAAACTAGTGCAACTAGTCACAAAAGCTGGCACCATTCTCTGGAAGAATATAACGGTAATGAACTGAGTAATCAATTCAACGAAACATAAGACTCAGGTTTAAGTATCTAACCTTTAGTTTCTCGAGATGGAAGGCTAGGGTAATTGTTTTCCTCCTCTTAGCCCATTCCTCGCCTTCAAGGCTGTCCACGCCTTGAGCCAGAATCTTTATCAGAGGATTCGCTGGTGGTTTCTTGATACAACCGGATTTGTCTGAAAATACCTCTTTCACCATCTCTGTATCCCATATGAGTACCCACGGAGTTGGTCCTACCCAAATGTTGCACATCTTGCCTGCAACGTTAATACGTTATTTTCTTTCATAAATAAAACTTTGTATTTTTTTTTTGCCATGTATTTGAAGTTTGATGCATTTGGATACCGTATTTTTGCACCATCTGATGAGTGAATGGTACGACTCGTGGAAGAATTTGATGATTGAGTTCGTCCATGGGGCGTGACCAGGCTTCCTTGAATCTTTCGAGCTCCTCTTTCGTATCCCCATAGAGAACCTTGTAGGGATTGCCTTTGATGCCTTGTTGCCTTAGATGCTTCTCTAGCCTCTTGGGCTTCCACCATAGGGAGTAGTAGGCTTTCACCGAAATGTACAAGAAGAGCGCAGAGAATGAAGAAAATAGTAGTAAAGGAAGAGGAAGGAGAGTTTCCATTTTGCTTTACTTGCACCAGCGCTTTTGTGAAGCATAAAATAGGAGATTGTGATGCACTTACAGTTGCAACATGGAGCCGTTTTCAACTGGTTCTCCAAGCCTAAATGAAGTCTTTGACTTTCCTGCTGTGACATTGGAAGCCAGAAATGGTATGCAATTTTTGCCTTGGGGATCAAGTAGAAAAAAGAAGACCGAGACTGAGAAGACAATGCCATGGAAGCTTCTGTTTCTAGGACTTCCGTGGTTGGCTGACGAAATAGCTAAGAGCTCTTTACAAATAAACCACTATGGGATTTATATTTGCATACGAAGAGGAGTTTGCTCCTGTTGGGGGAGGCAACATGTTCAATACTACAATGAATGCGGATCACGAATCTACAGATGGTTCATTAGACCAGTTAGAGTTCGTTTAAAGGCATCACCTGTTCTACCCTGGAGTTTCATAAAAAAATTTATTTGATTGAATTTTTCTGTCAGTGACATGAGGTAGCATAAAAGCTTGCATAATGTTAGATAGAAGGTATATATTGAATCAAGCCATTGGGATTGGACTGGCATAATTTTCTTTGCCCAATTTGTCTATAGAATGTATTTTCTAGGAATCTACCCTTGCTCCTCGTATTGATGTGCTATTCACTAAGACGTCTGATTCTTAATTATATTTTCCATCATTCTAATGGGAAAATAATGACCACACTCAACCTTAGTGAAGACCAAGCATAAGCAATATTTTCTTTCGTTTCTACCTGCTCTGCACTTCTACAGAATATTCAACTTGCCTACTTAACCATCCGTTGGTAATGAGAGAAGGATAAATATGCATATGCAGTTGCTATTATTATTTTTTATTTTCTTGAACTATGGTTCTGCCCTCTATGCCTTTTGTTTTCTGAAGGCTAATGGCTTCAATTTGCGAGTTTTGAAGAGTACTTGCATGATATAAGTTTGAAACTGGTCAGTTAGGACTCAAAGAAAACAAGGTATTGGCATGAAGAACTGCTTTGAGATTGCCTAACCACCTGACCCAACTGCGCTAACCTAAATCATCTGGGGGTTTCCATAAGTTGGTTAGAAAATCATATACATCTTTCAACATAACATGCAACATAGGTCATACAGGATGACTAACATGTCTCTCTTTGTAAGGATATTTCTGAACTGTCTCTCTTCATAAATATAATTGCGATAATTTAACAGTTTCTTCTGATGAAATTTTTCCTTATCATGTTATCCCTTTTGCATTCTCTAACATCGTGATGACATTGGAGCCCTTGTTCCAGTGTACTAGTACATATTTACTGAGACACGATCATCTATATTATCTCGTAGCATAGATTCAAACATCAAGCGGTAGACCTTGAGATTTTACTCATAAATTCAGGTGTACACACATGAGACTTGAGTTGCATTTTCTGCACTTATTAGTACCAAAATTGATAAAATTATAATCAATCAAAATGAGCCTTGCTTCCAACCAATCGCTTCTATCTTCATCTCTGTGTAATATCAATATCTATTAGTACAGATAAATAAAAAAACATAATCTGAAACAGAACATGAAAACTTCTGTTGAAACCCTACAGTCTACGTAGCATGATGTGAGCTCCAAATTGTGCTGAAGGATTATTACAGTATATGGAGCATGAGAATATGAATGTGAGAGCTCAAAGGAGAAGTTCTGTAGAATTATAGCCAGAGCCATCTTTTGCTTCAATCATCATGAAGTTCTGTCCTGAACATATCTTCGGTCCCCATCCAAAGGGATACGACACATTTTGACCTCCTTTGCATGCCTTTGAGATCCCTTCAGAAAATATTTCAGGGTTAAATTCCTCTGCATCGTCACCCCATAATTCTTGATCATGGTGGATTAGGCAGTGCAAAATCGACACCAGGAGGGGAAGTGAAGATCTCATAGCTTTGTTTCCTTGTAGGTATGGCGTAACAGAAAGTTAACGGGTAGGTACAATTTCAAAACTTCATGAAGAATCTTGTTTGTAATATACATTCAAATTTCTTCGTTTTCATTAATCTAGAGAAATGAAGTAAAAGGATTTCATGTTTAAGTTAAAAGTAGGGTAAAGAGTTCCTGCTGTCCGAGCATGAAAGAGTGATGTGAGTCTTCGATGCTTTCACAAAACCCTGAACTTTGGTGGGGGTTTGCACAAAATCCCCCTAAAATTTATAAATCATATAAACCCCCTTGAACTTTTAGAAGTATACTAAACCCTTCAACTATTGAAGTTAATGGGTAAGAGTAAGAAGTCTAAATTGGCATCCTACTTCTTATCTACTCTTACCTGAATAAGATCCATAGAAGTTATATTCCACAGAGAGGACTAAAACTGTCCAAATCGTCGTCACATGTCTAGCACGTGACAACTTAAAGTAACAGTTGTCTTCAGTTATCGTAATTATGTGAGTCAACTTCAGGGAAGTTTTTTGCATTTATAAAGTTCAGGGAGGTTTCTTCGATCACATCCTCAATCTTTATTTCATACTTCTGACATAACCACTCGTGAACTGAAGCAGTAATCCTAGTAAATCATCAGCATTAGATCCTTCAGTTTCTGTCAACTTTAGCTTCTTGTCTATCATATCCCTTAATATAGATATGACTTCTTCATATATCCACATTTTTCTCCTGGTCTTTGCAGTAGGGTTGAATCTGTAAAAAATCCGATTCATGAAATTCTTACTAGTTAGCAAGCTCCTAATGTTTGCTAGTAATGCAAAATAGATAACTAACCTGTATCCTGGAATATAAGGCACACGAGCAGCTTGAATGGCCGGCTCAGCTTGTTCCTTTTGTAGTTCAAAAATCTTCATAGCTACTTCCAAAAGCAGTTCAAGAAACGACAGCCCCTGTGAGATTCTGGAACTCAGGAATTACATCCACTTCACAAGATCCTTCCGTACCAACTAACCCTTCCCATCTCTTCATCAAATCTGTGCAGCACTGCAGTTTGTGACAAAGCTGTTACCATTCTCTGTACAGAAAAATAAAGATAGCTGACTTAGCTGTCGATTCAATGGAAACATAAAACCAAAATTTGAATGGTGAAAACCTTCAGTTTCTCAAGACGGTAGGCTGGGTGGACAGTATTCCTCCTCTTAGCCTATTCCTGGTCTTCAATGCCCAGCACGCCCTGAGCAAGCATTATGTACAAAAGGATATGGTGGTAGTTTCTTGATCTGACCCATTTTGTTCTGAAAATACCTCTTTCACCATTTCTGGGTCCCATATCAGTGCTCTATCGATCTTTCCCGCCCATATGGAGCGCACCCTGCCTGACAAACACGGTGCTTGTTTCGGAAACGAAACATATACTATTCTCGTGCATTATGAGTATAAAACTATAAGTACACCAGAGTATTATATTTTTGCATCATTTTGTAAGTGAACGGTATGACTCTTGGAACGATCTGATGATTGAGTTTGTCCTTTGGATGTGACCATGATTCCTTTATTCCTTGGATCTCATCTATCATCTCCCCATACGGAAACCTTTAAGGGTTTTACCTTTGATGCCTTGTTCCTTTAGATGCTTCTCTAGCCTCTTTGGGTTCCAAGTTCCAACATAGAGTGCAGTAGGTTTTGGCTGTGAAGTATAATAAGACCACATAGAGTGACGAAGAAAGTATTAAAGGGAAAGGAGGGAGAGCTTCCATTTAGCTTCTCTTGCATGCACAGGTGAATTTGTGAAGGATAAGGTAGGAGATGATGATGCACTTGTAGTGTATATACATAAGACTCATTTCAACTGTTCCTCCTGTTGGGGAGAAACCCCTGTGCCGAGATCCAACCAAATAGTCGAGAGAGAGAGAAACCACATAACCAAAAGATAGCACAAACAATCAAACACCAGATTTTACGTGGTTCGGCTAGATGCCTACGTCCACGGGGCCAGGAGGAGGGAGTTTTTACTATTAGAAATCAAGAGGAACAAACTAGGGTTACAAATCTCTCATAAACCCTCAACAAATCAACTCTCAATCTTTCCAATTGCTCCTAGAATAGAAGCCCAAAGAAAACCCCCTTTCAGCTCTCAAACTCCTGCTCTGCAAACTGTTAGACCCTAGAGGGGGGGGGGATGATTAGGGTCTTATGCTAATCTAATCCGATTTTATGCCAATTAAAACTTATTAACAAGTATATTATTGTAAGATAGATATACATGAGTTATAAGCAAGAATAAGCAATATGAATAAAGAGATATATCCTATATGATAAATATATGCAAGGATATGTAAACTAACACAAGGGTAAACAGTATGAACTAGATAGTGGATGATAAAAATAATGAGCTATGGACAATGACGACAAGAAATATAAACATAAGATTAAGTGCGCCAAAGCAAACTCAAACACCGGAGTTCGGACCTTCCATCCTACGTCTCCGCTCCCCACTCCCGGGGAGAAATCCACTATCACAACCGAATTTTCAACGTTCACCCGAATAACGTTTACACCTCACAGTATCGGTTTTCAACGCTCACTGAACAACGTTCACTCCTCACACTTGGTTTTCTAGTTCACCGAAAACTTCACAACACACTCGGTTTTCTAGCTCACCGAAAACCTTACACCACTCATAATGTAACAAATATAAATTTGTTCTCTACAATAGATGAGAACACAATTAAGCACAACTTAATATTATAATCTCTCACAACCCTAATATACTATGTATGCAAATACAATAAGCTCAAGTGGGTGTGTGTAACAATGAGATAAAGTCAAATCTAAACTCAATATAAAACTAGCTTTAATAGAATGATAATCAAATAACTAAGCAAATGTAAAGCTAGATAGAGTTTAGAAAACTTCTACAATAGATGAAAAAATGAAGAGATGGAGATAGGAGCCCAAACAAGAAGATGATCTCCTCCACTTGTAAAAATAATCTTCAAACCAAACAAACACTAAAAACACACTTAACCCTTGTTTAAAAACTTGTTTAAAACATTCTTTTTCTTACTGAGATAGAAGGGGGGTTGGGGGTTTATATAGGAAGAGGAAACAACAGCAAAAACCCCAAACAGATGACAAAAAAGCCCCAGCCAATGGTAAACAAAAATAGCCGTTGGAAAGAATCTGACAGAGCGGCGGTCGACCGAAAAAA